ATGAAAGGTGGACTTTTGGTTAGTTTTACGTGACATGATAGATTGACTGTTGGTTAGTTTACGTGACTGACATGATAGATTGACTGTTTGTTAGTTTTACGTGACATGATATATGGACTGTGGTTAAGTGTACGTGACATGATAGGTGAACAGTTGTTTAGTGTACGTGACAAGATGTATGAACTGTTGTTTAGTGGTCGTGACATGATAGGTGGACTGTTGGGTAGTTTTACGTGACATGATATATGGACTGTGGTTAAGTGTACGTGATATGATAGGTGGACTGTTGTTTAGTGTACGTGACATGATAGGTGAACTGTTGGTTAGTTTTACGTGGCATGATATATGGACTGTGGTTAAGTGTACGTGACATGATAGGTGAACAGTTGTTTAGTGTACGTGACAAGATGTATGAGCTGTTGTTTAGTGGTCGTGACATGATCGATTGACTGCTGGTTAGTGGTCGTGACACATGATAGGTGGACTGTTGGGTAGTTTTACGTGACATGATAGGTGAACTGTTGGTTAGTTTACGTGACATAATAGTTGGCTTGTTGTTTAGTTTACGTGACATGATCGATTGACTGCTGGTTAGTGGTCGTGACATGACAGATTGACTGTTGGTTAGTTTTACGTGGCATGATATATGGACTGTGGTTAAGTGTACGTGACATGATAGGTGAACTGTTGGTTAGTTTACGTGATATGATAGGTGGACTGTTGTTTAGTGTACGTGACAAGATGTATGAACTGTTGTTTAGTGGTCGTGACATGATAGGTGGACTGTTGGTAGTTTTACGTGACATGACAGGAGGACTGTTGTTTAGTTTACGTGACATGATCGATTGACTGCTGGTTAGTGGTCGTGGCATGATAGATTGAGTGCTGGTTAGTGGTCGTGACATGACAGATTGACTGTTGGTTAGTGGTCGTGACATGACAGATTGACTGTTGGTTAGTGGTCGTGACATGATAGTTACGTGACATGATAGGTGGATTATAGGTTAGTTTACGTGACATAATAGTTGGCTTGTTGTTTAGTTTACGTGACATGATCGATTGACTGCTGGTTAGTGGTCGTGGCATGATAGATTGACTGCTGGTTATTGGTCGTGACATGATAGATTGACTGTCGGTTAGTTTTACGTGACATGACAGGAGGACTGTTGTTTAGTTTACGTGACATGAGAGATTGACTGCTGGTTAGTGGTCGTGGCATGATAGATTGAGTGCTGGTTAGTGGTCGTGACATGATAGTTACGTGACATGATAGGTGGATTGTTGGTTAGTTTACGTGACTTGATAGATTCACTGTTGGTTAGTTTTACGTGGCATGATATATGGACTGTGGTTAAGTGTACGTGACATGATAGGTGGACTGTTTGTTAGTTTACGTGACATGATAGGTGTACTGTTGGTTAGTTTACGTGATATGATAGGTGGATTGTTGGTTAGTTTACGTGAAATAATAGGTGGACTGTTGTTTAGTGTACGTGACAAGATGTATGAACTGTTGTTTAGTGGTCGTGACATGATAGTTACGTGACATGATAGGTGGATTATAGGTTAGTTTACGTGACATAATAGGTGGACTGTTGTTTAGTGTACGTGACAAGATGTATGAACTGTTGTTTAGTGGTCGTGACATGATAGATTGACTGCTGGTTAGTGGTCGTGACATGATAGATTGACTGTTGGTTAGTTTTACGTGACATGATAGATTGACTGTTGTTTAGTGTACGTGACAAGATATATGAACTGTTGCTTAGTGTTCGTGGCATGATAGATTGACTGTTGGTTAGATCAGTTTTAGGCCACATGAAAGGTGGACTTTTGGTTAGTTTTACGTGACATGATAGGTGGATTGTTGGTTAGTTTACGTGACATAATAGGTGGACTGTTGGTTAGTTTTACGTGACATGATAGGTGGACTGTTGGTTAGTTTACGTGACATAATAGGTGGACTGTTGTTTAGTTTTACGTGACATGATAGATTGACTGTTGTTTAGTGTACGTGACAAGATATATGAACTGTTGTTTAGTGTTCGTGGTATGATAGATTGACTGTTGGTTAGATCAGTTTTAGGCCACCCATTGCGTTCAGTTAGTTGTAAACTTATCTGAAGCCATAACAGTTGTTTGAAGCTAGTCCTTAATTATTGAGTAGTTCGGTCGTTACCCCTTACATGTTTTTCAATTCCGAGTCAAAAACCAGAAATGTTTTGATAAAATGTATTTTTAATTCTATCAAATAATCAATCTATACTGAAACTTATAAAGACATTTCACTTATCTGTCATTACAAGGGCAGAACGATTCGTCACACTCGACCTGGAGAAAGTTCGGCACCTATATGTATATGGTCATGCATAGCAGTTCAAATAAGCTCACTACATCTTTAAATTACTTATAAGGTATTTTAATAATAATGCATTAGTGAGAGCAGAGGGACGACGCCATTTTCTGTCCGAGATGAAATACAAGATGTCACAGAACTTTTTTTAGCTGACGCGACACGTTCCTTATGAAATGTAATGCACTTATTCACATCTCTGTTTTTACGTACGTACGATGATACACTGTGACTGGTGTCTACCAAGCCGAGTCATAAGTAATGTCTGATCGCTGTTTTTCACGGACAAAACTATATTTCACAGAATACGTCAAGAACTCCTAACTTCTGTCCAATAAATAGACTCAAGTAGTGAATACATCTCAATTAGGGAAAGTAAAACAACAGTCTAATTGTCATGAGAGGTAAATCCAACAACAGTCCACCTTTCATGACACGTGATCTTACTTACTACATGTAACAGCCAATCTACCATGACAAATTAACTCAACAATAGTTAAACTATCATGACAAATAAATGCAACAGCCAACCTATGACACGTACTCTAGCCAACTTTCGTACTTTTTGGACACAAAAAATTGCAACAGTCCATGTATATATCTTGACACAGTCAACTAGAAGTAAACCACCTGTCAGTACATTTAACCAAAAGTACGTGTATATCTGGATGATTCTAGAAGAGTGTTTTAGTTATACTAGCATAGAGTTTTAGTATATATATATTTAATTATTTACTTTTTTGTGGTTATATTTGGAGTTCACCAAAAACATTAAAGAGGAGTATGCGCACTGCCAATGGTTATGGGATCCTGGGGTTGCCATTTAAATAAAGTTGCGGTTAGGGTTTCAGTGCTGAAGCGATCATTGGGTTAAACGTCAAGTGTTGAACGAACATATTGTTTAGAGTTTCTGTTAAAGTGAACTATAAGGGTTATGACTTATTCAAAAGTATAGAAATATTTTTCATTTTTATAGCGATCAGTTGGTAAGGAGTTTATTTTCGATCGAATCCATGCCATGGTTACCATTAAGCGTTGAAATAGATTTTGGGTTTGGTGTCACTGTTAAAGCGAACTTAGAGTTACGATTTTGTGTTTAAGCTAACTATTATAGCATTAGGAGTTCATAAAAAAAGTAATAATAAAGCAAAGCAGGGGTTAATTTTTTCAAGGTTTTCGTATTTTTATTATCGATATTACTTGTGTATTGTTTTCGTTTAGAAAAATAATGTCAATGTTATTTAAAAATGTAAAATAAGAAAGATACATATAATTAATATAATGTTGTATTAGCCTGTCATGGATGTAGAAGTTAGTGCTAACGAGTGTTAGAGACGACCGTTAAGGCGAAGTGTAAAAAAATAGTGTTAATGACATAAACTTAGGATATGGGTGACAACGAACTTATGGTGAAGAGTTAGTGTGAAAGTGAATTTAGATTAAGTGTCAAGTGTGACGTAAGATAGAAAACAAACTGACAGGTAAAAAGTGAAAATAAAAGCAACGTTGCATAGACTCGATGAAATAATCATTTGACGGTTTTTACATGTAAGAATCATCTCTTGAACCTCTTTGCAATACTATCTTTTCATACGGTACTTATTAGAGAGTCATGTTTGTTTTGATGTCCCCAGTTCGCTTAAGTTAATGTGTAAATGATGTAACCCCGGGTCATTGTCACCCTAGCTATTACTCTCCTCGCTGGCTGTATGATAAGCCGATACTTATCAGTCAACTACGGTATACATCAAACGCAGGGAGAAATAACACATCCATTCCGTGTTGAAGGCTACCCACGCCAGATGATGCATTGTCTAGCATACGCTTCGCTGCCACCGCTGGCCACCGAATAACAAACCGATATCAAGGTGAGCAAGGAAAAACGCGTTTGTTGCTGTTTATTTCATCTACGGGTATCAAGAGAGCTGATAACAGGCAGTGGTAGAAAAACATGAATTGCTATGCACTGTTGGAATTAGTCCGCTAAAACTGACTAGAATCGCAGGATCCAAAATTCTGATCGGTCGCCTGTAATTATGGACCATAAACTGCAGGCAACCGATCAGAATTTGGGAGCCTGCAATTATGGTCAGCTTTAGCGGACTATGTTGGAATATGTACAATATAATAATCATAAATGCAATCCAGATTTATGGTATTATGTCTCAAAGCTACACTGGTTATAACTATTCAGTGTACTGGGTACAAATGGTTTCGTCATAGTTTCCTAAGACATTAGTTTTGTAATGTACCCAGAACCAAGAGTACTAGTATATATTTCAGAACCATACATACGCATACAAAGCACAGGGACCTGAGAATTTGTTACTTATATTTGGACATACACTAAAAATCGATCCCACCTAACTTTCTTGCATCAAAAACCAAATTTCTAGTTTATGTACAAAATATGTATATTTAATGTCGTTGGAAAGAAACTTTTTCTTTTAAAAACCTCTTATATTCACGCAAAATTTATTTTCCTTCCGCAGACATGATCTCCGTTTCATCCTAAAACAGGCCATTTCAGAGTTTCACGTGCACGCAGTCATAGGCTCTATGACCTACTGAAATGTCACAATTTAGAAACAACGTGATTTTTTTTAATGTTAAGTCTGGATCCGAAAAACCGACAAAACAATGTCCAAACAACAAGAAATGCCTTTATTACAAGTTCAATGATTTTATTCTTTAAAACATACACTCTCTCTGCCATTCATCTGACGTACAAATCTTAGGATTTCATGCAATTTAAAAAAAAAATATCCATAAACCTGCTCTCAGTCGTGGACACCGTTGGAATCTTTTTTCCATTTAAAATAGTTTTACTCAATCTATTCTTGGGATTTATAATTTTATGGAGACAAGTGTTTAAAGCATGCAGAAAAATATTTTTTTTACTGTCCCTCCAGCACATGCTAAATGAATGACAGAAGTCAACACAACACAGAGCCCCATCTTTTGATAATGTTGCAAAAACGGTAAACAAAACATTGACCACTATAACACTAGCCATCTACAACAGCTGTTTTGGTCATTGCCGAATATTTCAAAGGTAGAAATTTTGTCCTGCAGTCGTTGGAGAAACAAAATGGTGTTACCTGTTACCACAAACATGATGAACGAACTAACACCAAAAGAACAAACAAGGAACTTGAGTATAACAAGTTTAATATATCAAGTTTGAAATCATTCTCTACTATATATTTCAGTTACTGGTCATATGGTAAGTTCAATAAACAACCATTATTCTTTTACATAAATTGTTAGGGAATTATCACTGGTGTACCAATACATATTTATATTGTTTTCAGTATTTCTAATGAAACTTTTATCTATAAACATTGCTGAAAACGTTTCCCAAAACGTGGGATATGGTAATAACTAGTAAACATGAAAGTCATATATATTTTCCATAACAGGGCTCAAATGTCAAATAAAGGTTGTGACCTACTTTTACTATGCAACACTCTATGTCAAAATTGTACCTGTAGACAATGCTTGATGTTAATTATAAGGTGTTACAGTATTAAATTTGTGTTCAAAATAAGTCTTGACCAGTCAAGGGTAAAATAAAGGTCAGTTACCTACTTTCAGTAAAGTGGCAATTCACCATCTAGATGTGCCCCTTTACCAGGTGTAGCGCTCCAAAAAGCTATATTATGAAGTAATGCTGTGGACAATTGCTTTCAATCATTACAGTCAAAGGTTGGCCATTCCAACATTCAAATACGGAATTTGGTGGTCGTAGGTGAAATAGCGAGGCTTCAGACAATCTGTGATGGCATACCTGATGTAAGGGCAAGGTATGATCCTATAATACTTTTAGGTATTAATACAAGTAACAAAAATATACAAAAATATACACAGCATATTTTAATTGCGATCAAAAATTTATTAAATTGATCTTATAACAATAATGAAAAGAAGTTTTTACAACTTATATTAATCAGTCTTGTTTGAAAAAATGTAAATGCACAGATCTAGAGGGTATTTACATATGTGGGAGGAACATAGAGGACCAAATGAAAAACTCACAAGGTTACGTAGGTCAGGTGACCCAATACTTTTTGAAGTATGATCTGTGAATTGAACCCTGGCTGTCTTAAGGAGTGTGCTATCCACTACACTCCATCCGACCACTCAACAATAGCACATACCAACTCTGACTCTGGTCTTACTTACTGAAGATCACCACATGTACAAATAATTATCCAAGTAAAAACATTGCCTTCAAGAAACATTAACAAAAATTTGAATGGAAACACTGTATATTTGCCCTTTACTGGTAAACTCCATGTTCACCCAATGAAAACTACTATAAAGTGTATGTTGGGTACTAATATGTCGCTGTCATGATGAATTTGTCCTTATTGGTGGAGGGCGAACAAGGTGAAAGTTAAACTGCAGAGAACATTTCCCGATATACAACAATGATAAAACAAAACTTTCAAATAAATGTGTGCATTTCACTTCTGTATGTACCTAATGGAACTGGATCAAAATTCAATTCACATTCACACTCACACACCCATCATACAAAGCCTCTGTAGAATTATTGAAGGTCACACCCACACACATGTGCACTCATACACTCACACGTAATAGATTCTATCTTAGGATTCCTCGTAAGCATATTTTTTGAGTTGCATATATTTATACTTTTTTGGGTCAATACCGTAGGCCAGTAGTCTTTCATCAGTCATTGTTGGCTTCTTGATATTCAGTTTATTTTTTATTTTTTTCGTCTTCTGTTTTTCAGCGGGAGGCTTGTCACCAGTGTCATTTCCCACACCTTTCTGCAGTTTCTTCTTCCTGTTTTTCCTCTTCCTTTTTGACATTTTCTGTTGCTCTCCTGTACCACTAGCTGCCTCACTGTCACCAGCTTTGGTCGCTGGAGCACTGCTAGAGGTCTCCTTTGTCTGGACAGAGGTCACAGGACTTTCCTTGTCCTCTGAGTTATCACAAACTGTTACCCTTACCAACTCAGTATCAAAACTTACATTTTTCGTTGATGAAACATTGTTGACTTTTAAATCATTTTCAGTTTTAAAAGATGCAGAATCACTCAATTTTTCACCTGATTTTACTTTTGTCTTTTCTTTTTTCTGTTTTACAGAATTGTCAACTATCAGGCCTCTATCAAGCTTCAGTGGACTTTTATCCAGTTTCTCTGGGCTATTGTCCAGCCTTACCTGGCTTTTATCCCGCTTCACTGGGCTGTTTTCCAGCTTTACTCGGCTTTTATTCAGTTTCACTGGGCTGTTTTCCAGCTTTACTTGGCTTTTACCTAGTTTCACTGGGCTGTTTTCCAGCTTTACTTGGCTTTTACCTAGTTTCACTGGGCTGTTTTCCAGCTTTACTTGGCTTTTATCTTGCTTAACTGGGCTGGTTTCCAGCTTTATCTTCTTTTTTGGCTGAGTTTGGTCTACCTCAGCTTTTCTTTTCCCGTCAAAAGAATTTGCGTTTCCTATGACTGACACTTTTGATGCAGAATCTTTTGCTTTCTTGTTCTTTTTCTTCTGTCTTTTCTTCTTTTTCTTTTCTTCACTGATGTCTTTTGAGGTTTTCTCTTCCTCTTCCCTGTAGAAGATAAAAATATCAAACAGTGAAGATAAGGGAGTAGGACCCCAAATTGTCAACAACATTGACCCCAATCTGGACTGATAACAGAATGTATCTATCCTAGCATATAACCCAGCAGATACCCCTTGAAAAACAATATCTTGCTTTGTGATTGGTTGGTTACAAATTCATACCAGACCATATTTGTAATTTTGCCAAGGAAATGGAATACCTTTCCCATTGCCATAGCTGGTATCAATTCATTCACAAGATTCTAAACAGGCCCAAATGAACCACACTCTTCATCACAGCAAGCGTAAAACAGGAAGACAACTAGCAGCAAAAATCTTCTGGTCCAAAATGTTTGTCCTCACACCCCAGGGAGAAGCAGTTTGAAACTAAATTGAAAATCTAATAAAAACTCAATGAGGGTTAAAGCTCTAAGAGATGATCAACGTGTCACTAGCTAGGGATTCTGTCAGTTGATGAAGGATTTTCAGAATTTAGTTGTCCTGTACAAACCTACAGATTCATTGACACCTTTCTCCCATTACTAACGTCAACATTAATGATTCACTGAAATCTGAAAATACTAAAAGTGCTTTCTATGCTTAACTCCCTTTGGTGTCATTTTTTTATAACCATGAAATCACAATTCAGACTACATGTATTCTCAGAGCAAATGACCTGATATGGGACAGAGATGTACTGCACCCCTCCCCCACCCCTTTGCCCTTATGAATCCCTCATCTTAAGTGGTTTTCCACTATAACCATAACTTTATATTTGTGCTGTGGATTAATTCAATATTTTCACAATGCGTTTTGCTCTTTGAACTGCTGTCAAATGGATACTGTTCGCCTGTTTTATTTTCACACTTTTCATCTTTGAACAATTGCAAGCAGGCAAATTCTTCCAAATATGAATATCATATGATACATACAGCCAGCAGTACTACCAGTATTAAGTAAATTTTTGTGAAATGAATACTAGACATACTGTTTTATGAGAACCAAAGCATTCGACATAATCTGCAGCAGTCATTAAATTATTACGGTAATTATAATCGATCCATTAAATGTTCTCTACAATATAGAGGTATCTATACCTGTTATACTCCTGTAGGGATGTCAATAGGTTACACTTTTTCTTCTGATTTTTTCCTTTATTACGATAGACCCTCACTTCTTCTTCCTCCTCTTCTGCAGTCCTGTAATGATATACAGATAACATATTATCGTCCTCAGAGTTAGACTGGTCACGGACCACAACTTAACAGTCCCATACAAATAACAGCCACCAGTGACCAGAGCATCATATAACAGCCATCAGTAGCCAATCAAACAGATATATAAGTATCCCATGCTTTACAGGAACATTCCTAAAATTGCTAGGGAAAAGATTATAAGACTCTTTCATGTCCAGGGGAGGAGGATAGGGAAATTCCACCTGAGAGGTTTACAAATTTGGTATAACCCGAGGCTTTGCCGAGGGCTTTGCCAAATTTGAAAATCCTGAGGGTGGAATTTCCCTATCCTACACCCTTGGGCATGAAGGAGTATTCTTCTCTCATTCTAACTACCAGAATAAGCTCAGAAACTATGAAAATGAATTTGGACTGGCTACCATTTTGAAAATATAAATTTTCCCCGAGTTTTTTTGTCGAAAACGAATTCGTCAGCTAGATTTAGCATACCCCATAGTTGCAAACAACGTTTACGCAGGAAAAATAATCTCATCTTTCAAACGTGTACGGTAAGAGTCTTATAGTCTTTACCTACCAATAGTGAAAGACAGCACACACATTATTAATAGGAAATGTTAAAATCATGTCATCACTTTAAGCAGTGTCACCAGGGTAGGGTTCAGCGTCATCAATTTTGTCCCACATTTCTTTTCATATGATGATGTGGTGCATTAAATTCACCAATACAACTTATTTCTAATGATTTAACAGTTACCATTGAACAGTGTAACACAAATAGCATAGTGACTACTGAACAGTCCTAAATAGATAACACAGTCACCATAGGTTAAATAGGCCAGAGTAGTATGGCCCTAAAAAGAGACTGAAAGGAATTGGTGAAGATGGTAATTATCATATACATAATACTGTATTATAACATGAAGTGTTCGTTGTTGATAAACATTCGTGGTTTTCGTGGTTGCTATTTAACCACGAAAATAAATACATCAAATTTGAATGATATACGTGTCTACTGTTTGTTAATATGGGATATCCATGAAAGTTTGTACCACGAAACGATCTACATGGCTTCAAACCATGAAAGAAAGTGCCCACAAACATTGCGTGTTATACAGTGTACATAATGTAGCAATATAACTCAAAAAATCCATAACTATTATACTTAAATAATATAGTTGCAATATTTCCTAACCATTCTAATGATTATTACGGTGAACTTTGTTTTTAATTACCACCATATTTTATAAAGGATTTTACAAACTCACGTGTACTGACTGATCTTCTTCAGTGAAACCCAACTGTTCAACTCCTTGTCCTTGCATTTTAGAATCTGTCAAAACAAAAGCGAAGCTTAAGCAGGCTGAAAGACATAAATTATGAATTCTACAACACTTAAGCTAAAATTCCTTCATGATCTCTTCCACCATCAAACAATTTGTCTCAAGTTAGTTTTTAGCTTTTCCATGGAGCAACAGTAAAAATTAAAGCTCAAACAAAGGCTTGAGGCAGACCGAATGTGTTTGTGATATGAAGCCAGGTCATAACGATATTTAGTCATTCTGCTGATGAATAGGACATTGGCACCCCCGGGTAACAACATTAGAAGTGACAAAACAAGATGCAAGATTGGGTCACTTGACCCAGTGTGACAATTCAAAAATTAACAGTCACATTTACCTAGCATAGTATTGTGAGAAATTGTTACTCTCTCAACTCCAGACAAACTTTCGTTTTTGAAAAAAAGAACAAAGAGTCATATTTCCATAAATACTGAGGCAGGAGACCCCATTTCAGTAGGCTGTTTCGATTCACAACTTCTAAAAAAGGTACTTGCACACAAAATTTCATTTTGCAACACTCTCCAATAACAAGAAGTATTCTTAGTTATTAGCCTACCACATCACAGATAATTGCCTACCTCGTCAAAGGTAATGACCTACCTCATCAACACCAAGCCCGTAGTCGTTAGGTGTGACCTGTCTGTACTTAAAGCGACAGGGCATGTCTCCGATGACGTCCTCACAGTCCAACTGGTAGTAATCGTCTAGATACTGCTCAAACGTCTTCTCCTCTGTCAATCATAGTTATAGTAGGCTTATACACTGTGTAACACTAAACTCACTTTGGTTTTATTTGCTCTTTTTTATGTTTTATAAAATGCACAGTATTTAAATCTCTATCACAGGGGTTTTAAGTTGTGAATATAGAGAAAACGAGACAAAGTATTGCAAACAACCAATATTTCTCCATCTCCAAATAAACTACAGTTTTATCAAGAGTACCGCGGGGCGGAACAATATACGCCCGTCAAATTCCATATAGTGTTATATACTTTCTTGCATTGAAATAAGATCTACATCATTCTAAGAGGGGTTAGCTGACATGCTATAAAAAATGTAGGAGAAAATCTCCGGACAAAAAATCAAATACTGAAATGCACAAAGGGCAATAACTTTTGCAAAAATCATAGAATCAAAATTCTTTTTAAGGAAACACAAAACCCCAGATTTCAAGGTACATTCATACAAAATATTTCAATTGTAGCTGACAACACAATGTTATTTACAGTGAGCAAAGGGCTGTAACTCTGTAAATAGTTTATCAGGAGATCAAGGTTTAGCACGCAGCACACATGCATCATGAACAATTATAACACTTTCAACTTGCGCTTCTGCATAATAATTTTTCCCATTGTACTGACATTTACAGTCAAGAGTGGAACCGTAAATATAACTACAGCAAATGTATGAATAATTAACTGACTGGAGTTCCAATGTACCGGTAGATCACAATAGTTTGTATCACTGAAATGGTTTTTAAATGGCAAGCAGTGTGTATCCACGAATGTAATGTGCTCTACAGTTCTATTAACACCTTGTGTAGCAGACTTTTATTATAACTTACCTCTAAGCTGGTTTTTCCATCCCTAAACTACTTTAGGTACATCATGTGTTTTTAATTCGCTGGACAACTTATGAAAATACCATGTAGTGTTGAAACAAACTTCACCAAATGATATTCACTTAGCCTATGCTCCAGTGGTGCTAAATATGAAATATCAGCTCTGTAAGAATTGCAGACCTTCAGAGGAACATCAAGTATAATACCCAGCAGTGTACATGTACTACATGTTATTACTACTAACCTGGATCAAACGTAGGTTTGCTCTTGTTCAGAGCTTGTGTTAACTTGGACTTCTTTTTCTGTTTCTTACTGATTGCTTGGGTGGGATCATAATCAGCATCCATCTAAAAGCGATGAAAACAAAGACGGATAGGGACAGGTTTAGATGTGATTTAGATCAACAGAATGTCTTACCCTCTTCTTGAAAGGCATAGTTACATATGTAACTCTGTTGGGGTATGAAAAATAACCAGTTGGCTTTATTTCTAATATTGGTGTCAAACAATTGTGATGTCACTACAGCAGTGTGGGCTGGTACCACTAGATTATTAAAGTAAGTGATGTGCTTAATACAGAATACCAATGGGAAGGAAGTAATCTGAAAACAGCAATAGCTACACAGTTATTTATAATAAACATCAATTAAGGTATGAACTTGATTGTTATGATCTTGAGAGAGTTTTAAACCCATTTATTGCCATCAAACTCCTTAACTCTACATTTTTATGTATCCACCTCTCATCATCCTATTTGATAATAACTCACATTAAAGTCCTCATCATCAACATGTGGGCCTCCATCATTCTCCTCCTCGCCCTCTCCATTGTCATTCTCCGTTCCTCCCTCCCAAGTGTCCCATGTCTCTATAATGATCAAGCGATTTCCTTACTGACTACATACATGTACATACCAACTAAACACTCTCCTAAAAATAAAATTATTTGCAGTTCAATCAATACATGCACACCTGAATCAAGCATTTCTTTAATAACTAGCAGCTTTGAAAGATTTTTTTTACAAATTTATATAAGAACAGGGACTGTCTTAAAGTGTTTGTGTTATACTACATTGTGCCTGTGTGTACATTAAGCCTTTGTCTTTGATTGTTCGTGTGCAAATCCCTGTGTTAACTGTGTAATTGTGTTCATGACCTGTGTGTAAACCTGTGTGCCCATATACCTGCAGCTGTATGTAAGTCCCTTTGCTAACGACATGTGTACAGTTCTCTTTGTTAACTACCTGTGTGTGGATCTTTGTGTTAATTACCTGTCGATAGATTTTTCAAATTAAGGATTTTTAGATACTAGCTTAAGGTGAAACAGAGTGATAATTGTATATCAAAATCATGTTATGATGAATGTGTAAATGTAAATGATGGCTGGATAGTTAATATCAAGCATGAATTGTCTAGCCTTGGTTTGGTATATATGTTCGAAAACAATTTACCTGTTAATGTTGCTTTTAAGATTATAGAACACAGAATTTTAGATAATTGTAGACAGAATATGATAGCAAATGTATCAAGGTCATCTAAAGGTTATTTATATACCAGCACCTTGTTGATAATTTTTGTTTTCAATTTTACTTATGTAAATCTATAGAACCAAAGTACAAACGCCTTAATTATTACATGTTTTAGATTGTCGTCTCATAATATAAATATTGAAGTGGGTAGACAGAACAATGTTGTTANATATTGAAGTGGGTAGACGGAACAATGTTGTTCGACAGAATAGATCATGTACTCGCTGTGCTTCTGGTGAAATAGAAGATGAATTTCACTTCATCCTAAAATGTCCAATATATCAAAACCTGGTATGTAAATATATCAAGCGATTTATCACAGAAGTCCTAATGTTTTTAAGTTCACGAAATTATTGAGTACTAATAATGTAAAAGAATCATATGTAATCGAGGAAAGTATTTAAATTGTGCCACAAGAAAACGTAGAGAATTCAAAGTCGGAACTTTGTAAGGTTACTCTCCACTTAATCAGTTTAAATTTGTATAATAATCTCTTGTACATGTATCACATGAGGCAATTGTTTGGCATTTAACCCATGAGCCGGATGGCTCTCGGAAATAAAGAAACTGAAACTGAAGCATCCATGTGTGAGATACCTGTGTGAAAGTCCTTGTGTTGACCTGTAGATCCTTGTGCTAAATATATGCCCGTAAATCCTTTTCAAACTAATTTTCTGTATTAAGTCTCAATGTTAACTTTAAGTAAGAACTTGTTACCTGTGTGTAAGTTTTTATGGTAACTAAATTTGTACATGTGTGTAAGTTTTTATGGTAACTAAATTAGTACATGTGTGTAAGTTTTTATGGTAACTAAATTTGTACATGTGTGTAAGTTTTTATGGTAACTAAATTAGTACATGTGTGTAAGATTTTATGGTAACTAAATTTGTACATGTGTGTGAGTTTTTATGGTAACTAAATTTGTAAATGTGTGTAAGTTTTTATGGTAACTAAATTTGTACCTGTGTGTGAGTTTTTATGGTAACTAAATTAGTACATGTGTGTAAGTTTTTATGGTAACTAAATTAGTACATGTGTGTAAGTTTTTATGGTAACTAAATTAGTACATGTGTGTAAGTTTTTATGGTAACTAAATTAGTACATGTGTGTAAGTTTTTATGGTAACTAAATTTGTACATGTGTGTAAGTTTTTATGGTAACTAAATGTGTACATATGTGTAAGTTTTTGCATTAACTACACTAACTGAAGATCTTTGCATCAACTGTCCATGAGAAATTGTTTAATAAAATGTGTGTAGCCCTTGTATCAAATAAATGTGTAAATCTTTGGGTTAAATATCTGTATGTAAGCCATAAGTTATATATCTTTAAGTCCTTGTATTATATATCTGTTAACACCCCTATATTGAATGTGTAATCCCTTATGTTTAATACTTTTGTGTAAATCCTCATGTTAAATATCTCGCGTGCAAGCCATGTGTTATATATTTGTAAGCCCTCGAGTTTGATATCTGTGTGCAAGTCCTTGTTTAACATTTGTGTGTAACCCTTGTGTTGAATCTGTGTGTTAACCCTTGTGTAAAATTTCTGTGTGCAAGTCCTTGTTTAACATTTGTGTGTAACCTTTGTATTGAATCGGTGTGTTAACCCTTGTGTAAAATGTCTGTGTGTAAAATGTCTGTGTGTAAGTCCTTGTGTTATCTACCCGTTTCTAAATCCTCGTCAACAAATCCAACATCGGGTTTGGTGTCCTCTGCTCCCTCCTCATCATAGTAGTCATCATCAAAGTATTTCTGAAGACCAATCAAGCATGAAGTGTATTGTTGATAAAGTAACATAACAAACAATAAAGTTATTGTCTAATAGTCTATGCTAACGTAATTATTAAGTAAGGCTGTTTATATTAAAAGGTAGAAATGTATTTTACATTATGTTTTTTTGTAAATTCACAAACACTATTAAAGGAAGTAGTCACTGCAACAGAGATTTTTACAAACACTATTAAAGGAAGTAGTCACTGCAGCAGAGATTTTTGTAGATACTGTTTTGATGAGTCCCAATCAAGTATTGCAGACATTTTTTTAGTCAAAAAGTACTATCATAAAGAATTTCACATCAAGAAACATTGGGAAGAACTTCACATGAACTAAAATTAACGAGCAGACTTTACCTGTAACATTAACGAGCAGACTTTACCTGTAACATTAACGAGCAGACTTAACCTGTAACATTACAAAAGAGGTTCACAGGTAGCATTATAGAGGACAACATGTTTTTTGAGCTTTGGATGTTGTCAGAGTTTAGGTTCTGCAACCATAGTCAACATATACCTTCATCATTTCGTCGTGTTTTTTGGGATCAAAGTCGTCATTGAGATCATCGTCATTGAAGCCTAAAGAAGGATTGCCTGTGATCATCTTCAACTTCTCAATCTTGTCTTGGATTTCTTTCTTCTTCAAATTCTTTAGCTGTTTTATTTCTTCCTTTCTTGTATCTTTTTCCTGTCCAAAATCAATCAGAATGACATTGTTTATTATTAGGAAATTAACATGCAAGTGTTATATAATATTGAATGTAATGTGTGTAATAGCATTCAATTAGATTTGAAACAACAGAGAATAAAAGAAGACTGTACTTCTACTGGCTACAGACCTACCCCATCATGATGGAGATTATGCCAAATTAGTAACGAATCATTGAATCATAAAAAGGGATTTATCAACACACACACACACAAAATAACGAAAAATCAATTTAATGGGAAAGAAAGAGTCTGTAGTGCATTAATTAGGGTTAGATACATTATATGTGTGTGTGTGTCAATCCTAAAAGTCAGGTGTTAGTTTCATAAATAAAATTACAGTTTTATTTATTTATACAGTATACAAGACAACACGTAGGAGGTACATTGTGTATAAGTTATGAGTCAATTAAGTCCAAGGTTATACCGTTTTCTTACGCTCCTTAATCTCCTGCCGTTTCTCCGCTCGGGTACTATCTTTCCGCCTGACTGTGTCTTTGATAGTCCTGGGGTAACTTTTTATCTGTGGACAGCAGACAATAATCAATGCGACAGTTTTATAAGTATATATTTCAGAATAATTTCAGTCCTGAAGTAATATGGTAAGAGCACAAGTTTAAAATTCCATTAGCTGATAATCAATGAAATATATGAAATAACTTGACATTCTTAAGTGAACAACCTCTGCCATATTATACATATCTGCCTTAACTGGCTTGAAAGGGTATTACCACAAAATCACTTTCTGTCATCTACATGACTCGATCTTAACCGCTGACCTTAGAGTCAGTGGCATGGGCTGACACACTACCGGTAATCTGTGTCATACTGACATCCAAATCATTTCTTTTACATCAGGCCGAAGGAAAATGGCACAAGCTGTATATGTTATCAATTGCTTTAAATGTATTCAATGAAATTGAAGTGCTTTGCATATTTGAAGTCATATCAATGTACTAAGTAATTGATAATTTCCTGTACGCTGTTACTTACAAATTCCTGATCAGGCTCCTCGAATCTGAAGTTGTATTTCCTTTCAAACTCTTCCTGCTGATCAAGTAATCCCTCCTCCTCAGAAAAGTCTTCATCCTCATCATCAACAACCTCACTGTATGTCGGGATTCTTTTCCAAGAAAAAAGTCAACATTATAAAGCATTTCAGGAGAGATAACTTATACAGTCTAGGTGCACCACAAATCTAACAAGTTGATGTAAACAAGAGATTTTTATCATCATATTATCTGTATAATCTGCCAATAGATATAATACAATCATTAACTGTTAAGTTTGACGACCAGTAAAGTAATCATACCGTTCAAACCTTTTTGATTTAAAACATACGCTTAACTCTCACAGTTTCAGTAAATCAGGGCTCGTATTCATGACATCATTTTCACGCTAAAACTCAGATTCTGTGCTCAAGCCCCATTTCTACTTCGAATTCAGATGATAGATTAAACGAAATTCACATTTCGTCAATCATTTGGAAGTATTTTTGACAGACAAGAAGCCAATTACCGTTTACAATCTTTACAGTACATTTTTTCATTATGGCACATGATTTAAGCGAGTAACAGGACACTTGGTTTGAGCACAGAATCAATGCTTAAACATGAGAAAGATTTCACAAGCACAGGCCCAACTCTTAATTACCTTCCAGACTCCTTGTCAATATGTCCCTTGTTTAAAATGTAGTCCCTTAAAAACTTCTCGCCAGAGTCAAGATTTGGGTTAGACCAATAATCCTTCAATGACTCCTGCCAAATGAGAAAAAATATATTTCATATCATGTGAATTAGTAAAACTGATGTCAACGCTTCTAAGCCTAGAGCAATATCTGTATTGGTTAGTTAACAAAACATTGAAATTTTACTTTAATTGACTGTAAACAGTAATTCTTTTCAACCTGTCCATGGCCATTCTCTCATATATATTATAACCGGACCAGAGAAGAAGTCAGTTACCGTATTTTACTGTGAATAAGCCCCCTCTCGCAAATAAGCCCCCTCCCTACTTTGGTAAATGTCCTGGGAACAGGGTGGGTGTTGCCTGCAATATGGCCAAATTACCTGGGGTGGGGGTGGGGGGCAAAAAGGGGTTATTTGGCCATATTGATTTAAGCGATTTCTTCTCTGGTTATGGGGCAGGAGGGTTTAGCCCTTCCATTTCTACAATTTTGAATCCACCACCACCTAAGAATACTTCTAGTCAAATATGGTTGATATACTGATATACATCTCTTAGCTTCAGAGAAGTTTGAAGCTTAAATCAATACAGCCAAATACCCCCTTTCTGCCCCGTCTCTCAGCCACTCCATTTGTACAGTTTTGAATTCCCACCACCTAGGGATGCTTTCAGTCTTATTTGGTTAAATTCCAATCAGCGGTTATGAAGAAGAAGTTGTTGGACGAAAGTGTTGACGGACGGACAAACGACAGCATGACCTAAAATTGAAATACTATATTTCTATGCTTTTGAATGACATCTTAAAAACTTCCTGCTCAGTCTTGTTCTATTTTACTACAGCCCAACAACCAAATCACTCATCACTCCTACGTACATACCAGTTCTACTCCAACTTTGTCTTCAGCTAATTTTGACTTTTGTCCTTTCAGCCAGTTCAAATAGTCCACCTCCTCTTCAGCCTGAATACCAAATACTTGTTATAAATTACATGCAATGGACATATATATTATAAAGCAGATCACATATCCTAAGTTAAGTTTTATTCTGCAAAGCAAGCTTGATTCTACGTATAGTTGCTGTGACTGTTATGTCCAGTGGACCTAGTCTGTTATAAGTAATATATATTGTTATAATTGTACATTGTAGTATCAAAAATATGGCAAATCATTTCTTAAAGATAATGACATGGACATTTTAAATCATCAAGTCTCTTTCAAGAAAACTATCAAACACATTTTTTAATATCGAAATCTGACAAACTTACAGCAGTATTTAATGTTCTTTAACCTAGCATGTCAAGCATCTTTTTGAAATCGACCGAAGCAAGGGGTTGGGGAAGGATACTAAAACTACTGCGCATCTGACATCACCTCACAAAAAATATACAATTATTAATCAAACTGGCTGTGATGTGTTTGCAAACTGCTTTCATTTTCAAGTTTAATAGCATACCTTTTAGGGGTTTTTTTTCAAATATGTTCTTGATTACTCTGTATGTTATCAAGAAATCTTCTACATTTAATGTTGCATTTTCGCTATTGTTGTTGATTTTTACTGCATTCCTATGTAAGGTGTGGGGGAAATTATTTCATCTTTATGCAGATATTGGGAATAGAGAAATTCTACCTTCCGGTGTAGAATCTAGGCTAAGGACCTTGGCAAAACCTCAATCCTGACCCCAATTCTACCCCCAAGGTATAATGCCCCCTACCCCCATACCTGCATAGGACAGACTGATCTATTAGTCACAGAGTAATTAACTTAATTCAGTAACATCATGATTTCATATTTTGCCCTCTATAACAACTGTTAACACAAACTATTATGTGATGCACAACGAGTCATACTTTCTGACATCTGATCTGTCATTGTCATGAGAGTATGTCCCTTTATGTGATAAAGGTCTGAAATGTTGACATGGACATTTTTGATACCATGATTGACCTGAAAAAAGTGACATGAACAGGTTGACATTCTAATTGTTTTTCATGTTTTATGATAGTGATCACCGGGTTAAATGGAATAGGGAAGTCAGCGATACCTTCTGTAGTTTACTCTTCTTTCTTTTAGTGAGGAATTCATCGTCACTTGACTCGTCCGAACAATCAAATCCAGCACTTTTGAAACTGAAAGTACAAAGTGACCGACCCGCATTAATAAAATTCTGCCACTTTTCTTCTCATCCAATTCAAGTGAATGGATTTTGAAACAGCTAACTGATGATAAGAATTAGGAAATGAAAGTGGGAGAACCATATGATTAGCAAACGCTAAATTTCCCTTGTAACGAGTACACACAATTGTTAATTTATCAGAGATATACCTAGAAATCTATACAACACAGGGTTAAATATCAGGAAATTATAGCTGGAGGTCTACCNAAATTTCCCTTGTAACGAGTACACACAATTGTTAATTTATCAGAGACATACCTAGAAATCTATACAATACAGTGTTAAATATCAGGAAATTATAGCTGGAGGTCTACCTACTAAATACTTACATATCAAAGGATGATACCAAGAAATCTATATAATACAGGCTTATAAATCAGGAAGTTATACTTGGAGGTCTACATACTAAAGACTTACATATCAAAGGATGATACCAAGAAATCTATATACCGGTAATACAGGCTTATAAATCAGGAAGTTATACTGGGAGGTCTACATACTAATGACTTCCATATCAAAGGATGATACCAAGAAATCTATATAATACAGGCTTATAAATCAGGAAGTTACACTTGGAGGTCTACATACTAAAGAATTACATATTAAAGGATGATACCAAGAAATCTATATAATACAGGTTTATAAATCAGGAAGTTATACTTGGATGTCTACATACTAAAGACTTACATATTAAAGGATGATACCAAGAAATTTATATAATACAGGCTTATAAATCAGGAAGTTATACTTGGGAGTCTACATACTAAAGACTTACATATCAAAGGATGATACCAAGAAATCTATATAATACAGGCTTATAAATCAGGAAGTTATACTTGGGAGTCTGCATACTAAAGACTTAGATATCCAGAAATCTACATACCTGGAGGTATATATAAATCACAGCCTTAATATACATCAAGGAGTCATACATAGAAATCCTGGAATAAGTGTCTTACCTTTCTCTGATTTCCTCCTGCTCTTTGTAATAACCTGGTTTACTATCAGGCTCATCATCCTGGTAGTTGTCATCACTGTCACTGGTCACTTGTCTAAGGAACGCAAACATGAAAACAATTTAGATAACTCACTTACAATGCATATCCAGAGATGCAAATCAGTATTTCTAAAACTAACTCTGTAAGACAGGAATGCCCCTCAGCCCAATAGAATGAATCTCATTTTATGACAAGTTTCTATCTGACAATAGTAACAGTCAGCTTGATATTTGCACCCTGAAATAACAATTCATTTAAGGTATATCATACATGTACTTGATAAATCTAGCATCATGACATGACTTTGTGACTTTAGCATTGATCTTGGGACCCTGAAATATGAACTCGTCTGTCACTTATTTTTAACACTGTCAGATATTTGAATCTAGTTTGAAGAAAATCTGTTTAGAAATAAAACCAGCAGAGTCATGACAATTGACTTGTGGAAAATAAGCAATATCTGACCAATAAATAGCAAGTGACATCCGTAACATTTTCATACCTGATCTTTGTATAAACTTTGATGACAATATTTTAAGAAATAAGTCGGTAGAGCCATGACTAGATTTTTAATTCTACCTTGTCAGAAGTTTTCTGAAATTAAATTCTTAGATGTATTTAATATACATCTCATGTATTATTACACACCTGATTTTTATGTACATTGTAGTTTGAAAAGTATATCAGTGTCCAAATGTTCCTGATATATATCTAAATACAACTTTTTTTATGTTTTATAACCTATAATAAATTATTTTTAATCCTTAAGAATTTGTTTGTTTGGGGTTAAACGCCCCAGCAGCAGCTAAGGTCATATATAATGACGGTATAACAAACAAAACATATTTTTTTTAAATATTATTGTCAGATGTAAACATCTGACATCATTTCTCAAGGGATACCTTTGCAGTAAACTGTATTCCATTTATACTTAATGTATTTCTACAAATTAATAATACAGTCTGTAAGATTGTTTATCCAATAATTCAGGTACTGGTACACTGTACCTAAGAGAACACTTACCCATCTTTTTCTGTTATCAGCTTTCTCTCATAATCTTTTAAGAAAACTGGTTTTTGTTTCTTTTTCTTCGGTTTTGAATCCTCTAAAATATAAAAACAAGAATATTAACATTTGTGTACTTACCAAGGTATTTTTTGCATATTTAAAAGTTCTAAATGATAGAGTAAAACCAACATCAATGGTTGTGAATCTTAAACTTTACAAGCCATTTGGATTGATATGTCTCGCCTGTGCCCCGCTTTGACCATCAATGCACATATCAGAAAAACTAAATTAAATGCAAAAACTTAATGTTGATGGAGATACTGACAAAGTCAATGGACCATAAAAAGTAGGTCGCATCCAGCATTTGATGCATGGGTTGAGATGTACTACCTAAGATACATCTATGGTCCAGGTTTGGTTGGTCTAGCATTTATGCTATCAGTGAAACTAAGTTTAATGGAAAAACTTAATGTTGACGCCGCCACCGACGCCGCCATGGCAGGAAAAGCAACACCTTAGTCTTGCTTACGCTACTTAGTCACGGCGAGACAAAAATCAGTTACATGATATGCTTTCCAGTAATTACTGGTTTTTCACTGGAACAACAATGACCATACCATATCCTCTGATGACACCAGTCCAGATCCTAACCACCTTGTCATGGAACTAGTTCAAACCCCTTAACCTCCCACCGTACCTCTCATGGCACCAAGCCCTTACCACTCTCTCATGTCACCAGACCTTAGCAAATGTCATGGCAACAGTCCAGATCCTTATCCACACTTTCATGTCACCAGTCCAGATTCATAACCACCCTATCATGACACCTAATCCTTACTGTCCTATTACAACACCAGACCCTTACCATCATCTCCTTCCTCGTCGTCATCTTCACTGTGGAAGAACTTAGCATCTTCCTTGTAGATTTTGGGGTCTTTACTTTTCAATGCAGACAATGTTTTCAGCCAGTCTTTTTCCAATTGAGCAGTTAAAGCCTGTAATGATATGGTGCTCATTTATTTTAATGAATTCTTTAGGACTTGATCTAGAAAATGTCCAATTAAAAAGGAGAATTTCAAAACATTTTACAACAATATGTTAACTTATAAATCAGGTATGAATTAAAACAGATCTAATTAATAAATAAATTACCAGTAAACATGTGAATTAGTTAAATGTTTGCAGACATTTTAAACAAAGTAAGGCTGAAAAATGCTGGGTTTATAATTAAGTTATCATTTATATTACTGGCATGGTCATATGTACGCGCATCTGACCACAATTTAGGAAAAAATATGTTTTGATGTGTAAGGAGAATGGATTTCTAATACTATAGGGAGAACTTTTGAATAGGGACACTTTTCATAGTGTAACAACTATTTCCACTAACACTAATTACTTCTAATTTTTTACCATAATAACAACTTTATGTGTTATTAAATCATCTGTTAAACCTCAAATATAAGTTATCTATGACAGGGATATTAACCAAAGCAATACCCATATCAATATTCAACAAATATGAGTTGTTTTACAAGTCATGCAACTTGAATTATGAATCTATTTATTTGTAACCAGTTAAGAAAAGTTAAATAAACAGGTTTCTATGATAAGATAAATTATGTAATTTGGCGTAAAACCAGCAGATAATCGTCAATCAAGTACATTATTGTTAAGAGCTCTAAAGTCTATTGTGTACATGTATTTCCCTGCAACATTTAAACAGTATCTTCAGCTCAGTGCAAAAAAAAAGAAATTTGGTATGATTGCCAGGAGATTTCCATACAAACAATAGAAATGTGAATTTGCTGTTTTGAAGCAGGAAACCAGGAGATTCCAGGGCATATGGGGAAACATCACATGCATAATTAATTTCTGACAAGTTGAAATGAGTAACAATCTAAACTTTACCCTCTTATTTTTGTCTGATATCAGCAGATTATGTATTGGCATTGTTTTTTGTCATAATGAAAGGACAAAAAACAATAATTGCCTGTTCATTATCTTACTTTTGAAGCCTTTTTATTTACACTAATGACTTTACCTCTGCATTTTCATCTTCTGATTCTGATGAACTTGAAGAGTCTGTTGCATTATTGATGTCGACGTCACCATATTTGTCTTTCACTGAAAATATGTTACAAAAAGTGTGTTGATATTCATGTAAAATAGTTTTATTTCATCTATCTTTGTCTCTAAATCGAAGCTGTTAACTTAAAATTAGCTTTTATTTGTGGCCATCTTAACAGGTTGGGCACAACGATGCATACGGGTACGTAATAATCCTGCATTAGGATAACAGTTGCCAATTTCAGTAACAATTTTATTACTGAAAGGTGGGTTAAGTGAAATAAAAACACAGTGTTCTTTTAAACACATGCAGCAAAATATGGCATTATTCTTCCAACTAAATTCAATCAATTACACAATGAAGTACATTTGTACAAAAATGTTATCAATTCTGATGACAAACTTTTTGTGAAAATGACAAACCATATCACTGACTTTGTTCTCTCCATGACTTCAGTATGTAGTCAATGGGATCATCCAGTGCAAACGTGACTGCAGGTGAGCATGATATTTTTCTGTGTGCTATTTATAGCTTCTCTACAACACACTATAAGTAATGAGTTGATACAATTTGTCATTTACATATTTTGTGCACAATTGTACTTCATTGTATTTTTTTTTATTCTTATTGTAACAGAGGTCCTTATTTCTGCAATGCCCCCGCTAGGAGTCGGACCTCTTGCTTACAACACTTACCCTCTACCGAATGAGCTAACGAGAATTTCTCCCTAGCCAAGTCGAGAGGAAGCCGGGTGACATTATGTTGAGAGAATAGCGCCATGTTTTGTTCACAATATTTAAACGAACTTTATTTGTTTTCATTTCACATTATTCCCCATTTCGATAATAAAATTGTTACTAAAATGAATAACTGAAGTTTGTTACCCAAATGCAGTATTATTACTCATATGCACAGGGGCATGGATCGCTTTACTTGTAATATTAAAAAATAGGGGTCTCCTATACTATTTATTTTTAATATTACAAGTAAAGCGACCCATGCCCCTGTGCTCATATGCGCCGTTGTGCCCAACCTGTTTATATTCAATTTGTTTCAGTTTAGTTGCACAATTTATGTGTAATTTTAGATAAAAATTGACAGCGGGCATGGCTATTTACATATATGCACTAATCATGAAATGTATCTAAGCTCAGATAATTTTCCCTCCGACTTCAGATAACGTGTCGGAGTTAGCGTTCCAATGCATATGCATTAGATCTCATGTCAGAACGACGTATATTTAAGCAAGATCATATAAATAACTTCTTTGTTCTACGCTTTTATCTACACAATCAAATCAAATATATTTATCAAATAGGGAAAAATGATTACATCTTTGTAATTCCTCTTTTGCTCTCCAAGTGTTGTATTTTTCTGCGTATGCCTTATTGATCGTGAACTCGGAAGCCATGCTGGTTTTCAAAATTCTACGTTAGTTGAACGCTTAGGTTGACTATTGTAAATTTAAACACGCAGCTGATTCCGATCTCCAGTTCTGTCGGCGAGTTCGAATTGCAACAGCTAGACAATGTATTGCTGGGTCGATTTGGCATATGCGTTATTGTACAAACGACATATTCATTTAATTATTAATCTTTTGAATTACTGCATAGTATTTTTTTAAACCATACATTCGGATAAATAAAAAATCTAAATAAATAAAGCACAGAATATCATATATTGACAAAAATCAGCGGGCGCTCATAGCAGGTACAGTGTAAATAATTTTACAAACCTGGTTAAAAGTGATGTATGTAGACATTTCCTGCCTACAACAGTGGTTTATTTATTTTTATTTATCAAGTTCTTTATTGAAAAATTCAGATAAAGTGCTTGTGGAAAAACGAGCATAAATGCAGTCTCGGAGCAACGCATATGTTGCAGTTTTTTTTTTACCATGCCCGAGCTGAAGGCCGGTGGTTTTCATAAACTTCATATTTAGACATTCCTTGACTTATTTTCCATAGGAAAACAGCAATAACTGGAGTAAAGGAAAATCTTTATTTAAATTAAGGAAATTTTCCTAACTTAAGAACGGACATAGATATCCATGACGTCAGTAATGTTTCCCTGTTGAGAATCTTGTGCTAAGGATTTACCTTAAAGATCCCTAGCTATAACCACTGCCAAACACCACAATATCTGTGGATTTTTTTTACCTGCATGGCAACAACACAATACGTACATGGCGAATGACAGTGGTAGATGCAGGGATGTTGACATATATATATATAGGTTCCCGGGCAACAACCTTTTTATGTCCAAAATAAGTCTGACCCAAATATATTTCAAGATTTCCCGCCTCAATTTTATATGTGAATTTCTCATTAAAAAGTTGAACCAAGGTTTTCTATGTTGAACAAGTTTTTCTTATTTTTTTTACTGGTAATTCATAACTTATGAAGGGGGGATTCTCAATGTCCAAGAATACGACCTATCACAGCAGAGATATCAGTTTTTTTTATAATAAAAGCCTCGAAAGGAGGAACAAACGCTTGCCCCCTCATCATCCAACCATAGACCTAAATTAACTTACTTTAGGTCTCTGATCCAACCAATAATACGTTATCCCCTCCTCTAATACATATATTCACGTCCAAAATAATCGAGCATCGAAACACAGGCCGATTGGACTGGAGAATGAGTTTACTTTTTTATTTTTATGTTTGATTATCCAACATTATTTTACATCCATTGTAAGTGATATAAATGGACTACTAAATACAGTGAATTATGGTTTTGATGACAATTACTGTTAAGTGTCGAGTTGTGACCGAGGCCGCTGAGGTCGAATTGTAACCGAGGCAGTTGAGGTCGAGGTCACCATGGCGGATTTCGTCAATGTTGATATGTTTTAAATGTCGCAAAATTACATGTCACCGTCTTATAGTACAAATAAATTTCATTTAAAGGGATTTTAAACGGTTTAAAATTGTCGTGCGAGTTTTTGTCTCTTACACATATGTTGATGGGGTGTCGTGCTGTCGACGTCGTAGCGACGTGTTGCGAGAATACCATTTCCGACATGCAACGAGTTTCTTTATTTTTTGCTTTAACATTTTGGTAAGATAGAGAACAAAATGGCACAGCAAAAATGTTGAATAATTTGTCAAATCTTGAAAACTGCTCACGGTGAAGATTTGTCTTTCAGTAGCTTTGTAATTGACTTCAGTTGAATTCACTGACAAAACTGACGAAATGTAGAAATGCATGAAATGAAAAAGACTATGCCCTTTGATTTGGCCCGGGACTGTACACGTGCGCGTTTAGCGGCTGGTTTTGGCGTACATTTTTATCCAAAGGTTCGACAACTTGAGAATGTATATGAAACTAAACACATTGTCCATGGACTGCTGCAAAATGTTCATAATGAAATAGAGCACATTAGTCGACGGGAGATAACTCGTATAAACTGCAAATCCTAAAGTTCTGCATTTTCTTAAGTCGGCCTTGATATTTTAATGCAATGCTTACCCCACAAAATCACAGAGCAGATATAATTTTTCGCGTTCATTTGTGCTCGACTACGTGTATTTTTTTGTCCAAAAATGACAACCTCTTTTCCTAAAACCGCAGCAATTGTGCGAATTGTACGAAGGCCTTCAACTCACAAGTCTTCAGATACACAACAGACGTACAGCTACACAACAGACGTACATCTACACACCAGACGTACAGATACACAACAGACGTACAGATACACACCAGACGTACAAACACTTAACGGACATAACGACAGGTACGTAACAGACGTACAATCGTTAACAGACGTACATACATATACTAAGCATAAGTACTGTAACATATATACACAACAGACGTACCGACACGCAACAGACGTACGTATACGTAACAGACATATAATCGTTAACAGACGTACAGACATATACTAAGCATAAGTACTGTAACATATATACAACAGACATACAGACAGCTACACAACAGAGGGACAGACATATATGTAATAGATATACAGACAGACCAACATACAGACACACAACAGACGAACAGACACACAGCAGACGTACAGACACACAACAGACGAACAGACACACAACAGACGTACAGACACACAACAGACGTACGAACATATAACAGACATACAACAGACGAACAGACACACAACAGAGGGACAGACATATATGTAATAGATATACAGACAGACCATTATACAGACACACAACAGACGAACAGACACACAACAGACGTACAGACACACAACAGACGAACAGACACACAACAGACGAACAGACACACACCAGACGTACGAACATATAACAGAAATACAGACAGCTACACAACAGAGGGACAGACAGATATGTAATAGATATACAGACAGACAAACAGACACGCAGACAACATAATTGCAGACAGAAACGTAACAGACATACATAAAGTCATGCAGTACAAGTACATACAACCACACAACACATATACAGACAGATACACAACAGACGTACAAATAGATACACAACAGACAGACATAAAGTCATGCAGTACAAGTACAGATAACCACACAACACATATACAGACATATACACAACAGACGTACAAATAGATATACAACAGACAGACATAAAGTCATGCAGTACAAGAACATATAACCACACAACACATATACAGACAGATAGGCAACAGACGTACACATATATGCACAACAGACAGACATAAAGACATGCAGTACAAGTACATATAACCACACAACACAAATGCAGACAGATAGGCAACAGACGTACAAATAGATACACAACAGACAGACATAAAGTCATGCAGTGCAAGTACATACAACCACACAACACATATACAGACAGATAGGCAACAGACGTACAAATAGATACACAACAGACATACATAAAGTCATGCAGTACAAGTACATACAACCACACAACACATATACAGACAGATACACAACAGACATACAAATAGATACACAACAGACCGTCGTACAATTAGTTTACTGACGTACAGACATATTAACAGCATGCGTACAGAACGGACATTCAGGCAGACACACAACATAGTTTGATACATACAATCATGTAACAGACGCTCAGACAGATACACACCAAAAGTACAAACGGACACACAACAGCTAGGCGTACGTGTCTCTAGGCACTTTGTAGTTAGTGATTTTTATTAATATACGAGAGCTTTTCATGAAAAGTCCAGACAAGTGAGAGGCTATTACCATCAAGTGCAAGGTAAGTAATCAAATGAAAAGGCATTGTCAAGATATACATGCATTCGAATTCTGAAAACAACGTTTTTTCGCCGGCTCTTCTAGTTGACAGCGAACAGCAACAGTGTAGTATAACTGCATTTATATATCGTGAGAAAAACATTGTTATTTTTATCTTGCTTTAGCATAGTGTGTGCTCCTTCCACTGTTGTCGATAAACATTGATTTTGCGAATTTATCTCAAAACACATGATTCCTAAATCACAGATACGGAAATATCATAATGGTTTAGAGACATATTTATTGAATTATTTTATAATGAGCCTTTCAGCCCGTTCGTTATCTATGAAATGTCAATAAGCCCTGTAGCTTCTATTCGTTATTTGTATTGTGTGTTTTTTATGTTAATATATTTGCGTACATGTACTCCAATCAATGTAAATTAAATCAGACAAAGTTAAGTAGTAATTAAAAATAACACATGGGTGGATCAATTTTACAAACAACCTTTTCCGCAATGTATCATCCTTGATATATATATGAAAACCATAAATGACTTTAATATAGCTCGCTTTTTAATTTTGCGGCCTTGCGCTCAGAGAAAACGTCCCGAGTCGAGTGACATATTCAATATACAGTTTTGTCACATTGCTATGCAGGTAAACCGTACAAATCGATCACTCAGTCATAGCTTGACAAAGGGACCAGTCGTTTAATGCGTACCTGTTGATTCGGAGAAAGAAAGAGAAAGTTATAGGGGAGATAACTCTGACAGTCATATGCTCAGCTAGGCTGAGGTACTAACCTACCAATAATATAAACATGATTTGTGCTTAGATAAATCAATTGAATTTTTAGTATTTAATTTTATTACAGTAAAAATACTCCTTTGATATTACATTTTTCCAAACAGGTAAATCTTATTGAAGATAGCAGATGTCTTCTGAGTATTTTCCAATACTGAATAGGCACAGCAGCAAGGACCAATTAATGCAGGGGGCACATATTCGTTTGTTTTTCCCACTGATCTCAATGGCAGTAAAGATTTATTCACGTTTATGTATCAGTTATAACTAATTTAGCACATCAATCGATGTTATAGTGGGATATTTATTATTATATGGCCATCGCTTTATTCAAAGCAATTATATTTTTTTTATAATTCTAAGACACGACGATAGATCGATAAGAAACGATTTTAAAAATGTTGTGTTAATGGTTTTGTTTATTAAATATTCTGCGATGTATCCATGGATCTTAATCAAATATAAAACACACTATAAGACAATCTTAAAATGATAATAACAAGAGGCCCATGGGCCTTAACGGTCACCTGAGTTATGTAAAAACTGATGCTATCGATGTTGCCAAATGAAAAAGAAATAATTTGGAACAAAGGTAACTTGAACTACATATAATGCAAGATCTGGGTAGTATATGTACTATGTACAAATAGTGGTTCTGTCAGTCAGTCAGCTGACAGGACATGTCCCTTTAGCTCAGTGGTAGAGCGTTGGCCTCCGGAACCTAATACAGTAGAACGAGTTTTTTGTTTGGTTTATATGAGTAACAGTGCTGGCTAAAAAGAAAACAGCTGTCCTATCAAATATCTAATATATTGATTCAACAATGAAGAGATATTGTAATTTGCCATTTGGAAGCTTTGCATATTTTTATACTGAACATAAATTACATACAACTAAATGTAAAAAATAAATAAAAATAAATTGTGAGTTGACTACATCATCTAACTTTAACACCAGTTGATATGAGAAAGATATTTGTTTTGAGCTTTTTGTGATAAAAAGGTCGCATATTTTGTTAATAATGTGAAAATTAACATGATAAACGACAAACATACAAAGTGTTGTTTAAGAGAACAATCGGGCCTTCGNCAATCAGGCCTTCAGCAAAGTTATTTATAATGTGACACTATGGATGTGTACGCCATTGTTTTTAATCTTTTCCAGTTGATTCTTCTTGAATTAATAATTTTGCTTCTGTGCATGTGTCAGACATTGGTTGTTCAGGGATAGTACTTAAGTCAACAACGCCATGAAAAGATCATTTTAATGAGATTGTAAATGGCTTTTCATAGCTTCATGTTGTTAACCGTAGTCGATAAAAAACAACAGAAATAAAAATGAAGGAACTGAAAAGATTTATTGTGTTATTGCATCTGAAAACAATATATATAAAGCACGTGTTTTGAAACTTAGATATTATAGAAAACGAATGTACAATATTAGCATGAACATATATATATATATGCAAGAGAAATTGAAATGATCCATAAATAGTGTACTAGGTAAGCATGGTATTACACACAGGGTGTGTGTCAAGGTTTTTCAGGAAATTCTTGATCTCTGTGAAGTAAATTCTTAACATTTATGATATGCAATATATATTGAAGTAAAGATTGAGTAGAAATTGAACTGTAATTGAAATCATGATGCATCAATTTCAAATCAGGGCAGAAGTTGCATATAAAGCCATGGGAGTTTCGCAGTTTCTTTATGGAAAAAATGTGCTATAAAACTATAAACCTGGGGGCGGGTCAGGGTCAAAATCTTCAAAGAATCAAACTGTCATCTCATGGTTATACTTTCAATCAAGTTTATAATATTTCCAATTGAAAATGAACAAAATATACCCAAAAGTATCAATTTCTTATACAAACTGTAGTAAACTTTACCCCCTGCAAAGGGGCAAAAGTGGAGCTTGGGGGTCATGAAATTAATTATTTTGATAAAGCGCCTGACGACCCCTTGATCTATGAAGATTATTTGTTTCCAGCATATCTGAGTCTGGAGAAGAATTCCAAGATGGCCAAAGCCCAAACTGTCATAGTATCAAAATGTCATTTCGAAAATTCCTAAAAGTATAATTTTTTCTATATAACGATAATCAACTTTCCCCAACCCAGGGGATAAAGCGCTTTAAGACCCTTCCATCAATGTAGATTACTTGTTTCCACCATATCTTGGTCTGGATAAGATTTTTAAATTTAAGCTAATTTGACCCCTTTTGCCCCGCCCCTCAGCCCTTGGGGGCGGGCCCGGGCCCAAACTGTCAAAGTATCAAACCGTCGTTTCATAGTTATAATGTCTGTCAAGCTTGAATAATTTCCAATAGAAAATGAACCAATTTTGGGTCTAAAAAAAGTATCATTTTCCTATATAAACTATAGTACCCCCCCCCCCTCCCCAGGGGTAAACATAGAGCCTAGGGGTCATGAAATTCACAATTTTGATAAAAGACCCTTCCATCTATGACGAGTATTGGTTTCCAGCCTATCTCAGTCTGGAGAAGATGACTGTTGAAATTTCTGGCTATATGTCCACATTTAGGCTCCGCCCCTCGGTCCCTGGGGATGAGACGGGGTTAAAAAAGGTCAAAGTATCAAACTGTCATCTCATGGTTATAATGTAAATCAAGTTTGAGTGATATCCAGTAAAAGATGAACAAAATATACCAAAAAGTTGCATTTTCCTATATAAACTATAGTAAATTTCACCCCCTTCCAAGGGACAAACGTGAAGATCGAGGGTCAAGACCCTTCAACCTATGAAAAGTATTGGTTTCAATCATATCTGGGTCTGGAGAAGAAGATTTTTAAAATTTAAGCCAATTTGACACTTTTAACCTCGCCCCTCAGAGCCCCTGGGGGTGGGAACCATATACTTTGCAATTTACAAATTTTGTGCATATTTGACCAAGGAAGGTTCCTGCAAAATGTTATTGAAATCAGATCAGTGGTTTCTGAGAAGAAGTCGAAAATATAAATTGTTTACGGACGCACGACGGACGACGACGTACAAAAGACGATTAGAATAGGTCACTTGAGACTTCGTCTCAGGTGACCTAAAAATGTAATCACATCATAAACACATGTAGTGATGTGTATAATATCCTCTCATTTATCTTCTTTTTAAAAGTTAACAAATTCTGTTACAGAATACGAGTGGATATATATGGCAGATCTACTTTACAACAGTGGTCGTGTCATATAACTTTGAACCAACAAATGTTTGACAGATACAGCTATTTTGATGCAAGTAGAAAAGTGTCTTGCGTTATTGTAAGAAAAGGATTTCCGGAGCCCTCCATAGATAATACGAATGTCTTCAGTGGAAAAGCTGCAATCAGCATTGCTTTTAATAAGACGACGCACATCAAGTGCCCGCAAACTTAGCTTAATTGCTGAATCTATGTGTTCCAACATTAAATGCAATTCACATTTTTTTTAAACAAGTTGAATTTAACAACGGTGCCCTCACTGGAAACAAATGCTACAAACAGAGTATACGCATGCGTCATATCGGTGCTAAGGACATCTGTCCCAATGGAATCAAACCCCAGACAAGTCAACTTAGGGTTTCCCTACATACAGGTATAAGCAGCCTTTAATTTCAATCGGGATATAACTGTCTGGAACAGGGTATTTCTACTGAAGCCAGGTACATGTAGAACAGTCAGGGCGGTAATATAATGATCATAGATCCGAGGTATTGACCAGTACACCTCTAAATTTTGAAATTCTTAAGTTAATAGGGTTATGGTCAAATCCCCTTCTGTTTCTACAGTAGTTTTAGTTAATCTAGATGTCCAGCTGTTTGGACCCTAGCATCACCGATGGTTCCTAGAAGGACGAAATAACAGTATGATACAGATTAAATGTTTTTTGGCAGTTTCCAATGCATATATATTTACTGTTGTTTGGAAGCGGTTTGATCATCCTTAACGTATTTCCCCAGTTATATAATTGATATTATTTTAATTCACTGTATATATCAGCTATAAAATACCACTTGATACACAAATATATAGGTACAGCTCACCAAAACTTAAAAATCATCTCGACCGATATATTTTAACATATAAGGAATGACAAATAGCACCCCAGTGTAAAATGTTGGAACTAACAAATTACATCCTTCCAACATTGCATTTATAATTAGGGAGGCAAATTTGATATTTGATGTAAAACGTTTATCTGTGGGCTCTATGGTTGAAATTTATAACCTGAGAATAATACAAAATACCGTTCTAAATATGTTCTAAGCAAAATTACACAATTAAGTCAAAAAGCAAAACATTTACACAAAATGGCACTAGGGAGATAAACAAAGTATATTGTTTACATACAAACAATTAAAACAAATCACTCGCAACGATTATTCAAGGCTATTTGACGCAATAAAATGTATCGACGGAAATGATGATATAAACAATGTATGCATACATATGTTACATAACAAGAGCTGTCAGAAAACAGATTACCTTACCTATTGATGATACATTTGAAATAAGCGTAACGCAATTCGATAAAGATTCTGCAAGACCGCATTGAATCACATCTTAGAAATTTAAAAACCTTAATAAAATATAGCATAGCAAGTGATACCCATATAAAAGGTATACCTAAATATACCTGAAGGTTTATGTTATGTACATATTTTAGAAATTTAAAAACCTTAGCATGTAGCACAGCAAGTGATACACATACCTCAATATAACTGAAGGTTTATGTTATGCACATATTTTGTTTCAATTGTTTCCAGGTTCGAGGTTCATCACAATCACGATTACTCCAAAAAAATAGTTGCTCAGATACTGGATAATTGTCAACATATAACTTACCCTGCATATAAGTGTCCAAAGCCTTGTTATACCGAGCAACCTAATTATTGTGATGGTGAAATATTTCACGAAAATAATTATAAAAAACTGCAGTCTAAAACCTGCTTATTGTATTAAAGCGTCGAATAAACTTCTTTTGGCCCCAAAAATACAGATATGGTTTAACACATTACTCTCTGTCTATATAAACATGGAAGCCTCGTGATTGTAATCAGCCCCTTGTAGTGACTCTTATCAAACATTGTTATATTGTTCAGTGCTCTGTGAACTCTTCATATTAATAGTTCAACTTTATTAATATTCATATTCTGATAAAAAATGAGCCGAACTCATTCAAACAAAACAAAATGAAAATGTTCGCCATCTTCTTTAAGTGGTACGGGAACATTTTGGTGCAACTGTCCAGTTTACAAGGTGCATCGTCTTAAGTTTTCCTGTCAACGTTTGCAGTCTCGTATATATGTGGAATTTCCAACTCCCTACGTCCAATCTGTTCATAATTTCCCTCTGTGTCGGAGATCTGCACGATGCTTTGTTCCTGGTTGTGAGTTGCTATGTCTTCGTTGTTATCATCTGAAAAATGCAATACAAAATATTAATTTATTTCAGATTTTGTGTCTGAGATGATATTAGTGCGCTTATAGGCCGTGAGTTTGAGATATCCTTATACCGTTTGCAGCTAGGTGAAGGTTGGCAAAGTGTATAATCACTGACGTATCGTGATTTCCTGTTTCATTTTAAACGTGTTTTGATCATCGTATGGGTCTTTGATGTTATGTTTTGCTTCGAATGTTAAATATTCATATTTTGTTTTTGTCTGTTGTGATATACATCCATATATATATATATATATATGAATACCAATACAGCTAAATCGGGAAAGACATTTCTAATTTGCAAAACACCAAAACGGAACAATATCTGCTTTTTGCATTACTTATTGTCATTTTACCGGAACACGGTATTTACCTTGGTCTATATTTAGCTCATTTGCAGTTCTCGACGACGAAATATCTGTCAGACGTCTGACCAGTGCTATGATCACGACGACCAGAGCCAGTACAACTACTCCAGATCCGACGCCTACCCCGACTGCAGCATCCTTATCCATTACTATAACAACTACAATATTTTCATTAGTATTTTATCATTTAATATTATAAGCAATCATTCTTTTTACATAATATGTTCTGTAATATTACTTTGATGTTTGTGTAGAGATTTACCCCTTTATTAATACTTTTTTATGTATTTTTTTATTATTTTTATGTTTCCCTTTTTTGAAGGGAAATATCATGAATAGATATGTAAATTTATTGTAAGGAATGAAATAATGAACATTGAATTGCTTGTAAAGCGGACTTGTGTGTTTTTAGAAGGAAAAAGAAAGTAGTAAGAAAGGGTGGTCGGGTAGCTCAGTGGAAAGAAAGCACACTTGTCTTTCACCAAGGCGGCCGGAGTTCGACTTTCCGTTAGGACGTGAAAGGTATGGGGTCTTCTGCAAGACCTCGGTTCTCTGGGTACTCCGATTTCCTCCCACATTAAGACCCCCGCGCGCTTACATCCAGGCTAACAAGAGTGATTAAACTAAATTGCAAAAACTTGTTTCATAATTGTTTTAATATAAATAAAGTTTAAAGTTATGAAAACAAAAAAACGAACGTATTTGTTATTTAATAAACACAAATAATGGCACAATTAAAATATAATGTGTATACTGATTATTACAAATTATTGTCATTAAAGAGAAAACAACAAAATAATAAATGATTCATATTTTAGTTTTTGTTTGTTTAAATAGTTTCACCGAATGATCAACATGTTTCAATTATATGCACGTGTAAAATAACAAATACCTCTGACAAATTATTACGTGAGATATCGATTGAAGGGCGTGGTTCGTATATGCAAAGTTACGAGTCTGTGTCTATTATTAATTTTATTTTGTTGTATGCTACGTCTCGATATAATAATAACACTCTTATGTATATCATAGTGTGAATATGTTAAATTCTGTACATAAATATAATTTTGCCATCGTCAATTTGTATATTACATTATACATCAACGTTTAAAATTCCACGAGCAAAATAATAATCATTGAAGAAAAGTAATTTTTTACCTGTGCACTGACCGTTGTCCTTGTTACAAACGTTGTTTTTACAGTGAACAGGGCAAGGCAGGTTGCAATTACCGTAGAACCCAATGTCGCATTCTGAAAATTTCGGTCAATTGCTAGGTCATCCGATGTACCAATAAAAATCACCAGTAAAATATCACATGGCTCTCACAAATATACGGTACGAATTCGACATTAATCGAAGGGCGTGTCTTTTTATGTACACTTGTGTACCTGTGTCTATTATTCCTTTCACATTGTTTTATGTTTTTCAGATATTATGAAAGCATTATCATTAATATCAGTGAGAATATGTGAATTATGTTACAATAAATAATATAACTCAACTTAAATCTGCGTTTTACTTAACTTTTCATATTTAAATAAGTAAGTTATCCATTCCTTAACAAACATAGTTTCCCTACATTTGCAGTGGCCATTGTATTTTGTATTATTATATTCATAATTCCAAAACGGACTCACAAATAGAAGTTGACCATGTCGTCGTCTAACACTTCGTGTTGTAGTATCGGGATAAACGATTTCTTATCGTTATTTGACAACTTACGTTTTTTTCCTATTGATCAATTAACTGTAGAAAAATAACACTTCAACAAACCTGTTACTTTGTTATAATATAATGAGATTTCTTATACATTGTTACAACTTCAACAATGTATCGTTAATAAACTACGTAAAAGGGAAACAAATGCGTTATACGTATCACAACTGTAAGGTTGGAATGATGTCACAGAATTTTAGCCCTCGATTGAGATTTCTCTATTTTACTCGGGTAGCAGAACACAGTAAAGGGTTGTGGCCATGGGTGATATTTTTGTTAAATGGCTAACCCCTGTATAATGATATGTAAAAAAATATAAAAATAAAACTACTAAAATTGGTATAAGCATGATGAAGTGGGCTATGTGAGCTTCACATTTGTAAAAAAAAAAAAAAAATTGGTTCGAGAATAACATTTAGGCCATAATCCGAAAGGGTGCCTACACATGAAAAGCTAGCTTTACAGGAGGTAAAATTTTGACAACAGCACACGACGCAAAATTACAAAAAATCAAGTTTTACAACTTTACTGCGACCCAGATAATTCTGCAACCAGGTAGATAATCTTTAATTTCAGACAGAACTTAGGAAAATATATATTAGTTGCGGGGGTCAAATTTTGGGTCAAAAATAGCAATTTTAGGCATTTTTTGGTAATTTTTGATGTGGTAACCATGGTTTTCACACAAGTGACATACATAGAAAAAAGAGGTTTATCCACTTCTCAGTACTTAATATGTATTGTAAATGTAATGCAGTTTACAAATATATATACATGTATGCATGTGTTGTGTAGGGTAAATCCGCTGTGTTTACATTTCCTCGATATGTGCCTTGTTTATCAGAGTCGGGCCATTTCTACAGTATACTGCTACCTCAGTTACAGATTAAGTATGGTAAAAGTCCATTTCAGTATATTTTTAGCACACATTAGTGCATGCATATAGAAAGTTTGGTTTGTTTTACCTTTGCAATGGCCATGGTCCTTGGTACAAACGTTGTGTTTACAGTTAGCAGGACAAGGCTGGCGACAGACACTGCCATGTAAGCCATCATCACATTCTGAACAGAAAGAAGGTACAAACTATGTGAAACATGTTTCTCTCACGACTTTCATTTAGCCAATATTTATCACGAATAATGCATTATCATTTTTATTATTTCAAAAACAGACTAAAATTGCAGTGTTGTAGTATCAGCCTTAACGATTGCTGATCGTTATTTTCTCCTTTTTATCCGTTAACTGTAGAGAAGTAGCACCTCAACTCTGTTACTCTGTTATAATCTGATGACATTTGTCTTACCTATGCAAAGACCATTGTCCTTGTTACAGACGTTGTTTTTACAGTTAACAGAGCAAGGTTTGCGACAAAAACTGCCATAGAATCCAGTATCACATTCTGAATATAGAAAGAAAACAAAACAACATGAAACAACTTGATTACACGACTTTCATTTAGCCGATATTTGTCACGAACAATGTGTTATCATGTTTATTATTTCAAAAACAGACTAATAAATGGTAGTGTTGATCATTTAACTGTAGACAAGTAACACTTCAACTCTGTTACTCTGTTATAATCTGATGACATTTCTGATATATAGTAATCACTTCAGCAATATATTATTGATAAACTCATTTGAAATGGAAACATATACGTTATTGGTAGTGTAAAATATTCAATCCTTCATCATATCACTGTACGCAGCTGGATAGGCATCGATCGTGAATCACTATATTGTAAAGTTTTATCTTCCGACCCACTGAGTCAAATATCATTTTAACATTTTAAGCATCTCCTTGGCTTCCTGAAAGTTGATAATAAATACTACTTACGAACACAATGTCCTGACGTTTTGTCACAAGTGTTAGTGCTACAGCCACTAGGACATGGTGTACAGGCTGGTCCATAGTATCCGTCGTTACAGTCTGAAATATGAGAAATGTTTTAACAGAACATGTTTATATTGAAAAGTATACTCAAACTGCGTTTGAACATCTATAACGACACCTGCAGTCATCGTTCCGTTGCAGCTTGGTAATCTATTGTCTAGATTATGTAAGTAGGACAAATGAGCTGTGAAGGGATTTAAATATACAGAGGTGGAGTCCAATGTTCTGCCAAACCATGTAATACTTTGCCGATATTTATCACGAAAAATGTGTTATCATTTGATTATTTCAAAAACAGACTAATAAATGGTAGTGTTGATCACTTAACTGTAGACAAGTAACACTTCAACTCTGTTACTCTGTTATAATCTGATGACATTTCTGATATATAGTAATCACTTCAGCAATATATTATTGTTACACTCATTTGAAATGGAAACATATACGTTATTAGTAGTGTAAAATGTTCAATCCTTCATCATATCACTGTACGCAGCTGGATAGGCATCGATTGTGAATCACAATATTGTAAAGTTTTATCTTCCGACCTAGTGAGTCAAATATCATTTTAACATTGTAGGCATCTCCTTGGCTTTCTGAAAGTTGATAATAAATACTACTTACGAAAACAATGTCCTGACGTTTTGTCACAAGTTTTAGTGCTGCAGCCATTAGGACATGGTGTACAGGCTGGTCCGTAGTATCCGTCGTTACAGTCTGAAATATGAGAAATGTTTTAACAGAACATGTATATATTGAAAAGTATACTCAAACTGCGTTTGAATATCTATAACGACACCTGCAGTCATCGTTACGTTGCAGCTTGGTAATCTATTGTCTAGATTATGTAAGTAGGACAAATGAGCTGTGAAGGGATTTAAATATACAGAGGTGGAGTTCAATGTTCTGCCAAACCATGCAAACCATGTAATACTTTGCCGATATTCATCACGAAAAATGTGTTATCATTTGATTATTTCAAAAACAGACTAATAAATGGTAGTGTTGATCACTTAACTGTAGACAAGTAGCACTTCATCTCTGTTACTCTGTTATAACCTGATGACATTTCTAATATATAGTAATCTCTTCAGCAATATATCACTGATAACCTCTTTGAAATGGAAACATATACGTTATAAGTTGTGTAACATGGTTAACCCTTCATCACATAAGTGTGCGCTGCTGGAAAGACTTTGATCGTAAACCATTATATTGTAAAGTTTTGTCTTCCGACCCAGTACATTAGATATCATTTTAACCTTGTAAGTACCCCCTTGGCTTTCTGAAGGTTGATTATAAATATCATGTTTATTAAAATTGGACATTAATCGACAAGTGTTAATACACAGTTCGGCAAGGTCCCATACCCATACAGTTTTACCGTTGCAATGACCATTGTCCTTGGTACAAACGTTGTGTTTACAGTTAGCAGGGCAAGACTGGCTACAGAAACTGCCATATAAACCATCATTACATTCTGAAAATAAAGAAGGTATAAACTATGTAAAAGAATTTAATATCACGACTTTCAGTCAGCCGATATTTATCACGAATAATGTATTATCATATATATTATTTCAAAAAAAGACTAATAAATGGCAGAGTTTTAGTATAAGCCTGAACGATTTCTTATCGTTATTTTCTCCCTTTTTCAGTTAACTGTAGAGAAGTAGCCCCTCAACTCTCTTACTCTGTTATAATCTGATGAAATTTCATCAATAAAGTAATCACTTTAGGTAGCAGTGTACAGTAGAAATGGCTTGATCCTAAAAAAAGGCATATCTCAGATAAACATGGATAGTGAATTCAACCTGCACAGCACATCTGCATATATATACATATTTATAAACTATATTTTGATATCATTTTGTTTAGAAGAAAACTGTTTTCCCCAGACTTGGGACTTGTGAAAACCATGGTTACCACATCAATAAACACCAAAATATGCAAAAAAACATGATTTTTAACCTAAAATTTGACCCCCGCAAAAGGTCACTATTTTCTTATAACCTGTCTGAAATTAAATATCGCCTACTCGGTAACAGAAATACTCACATTTAAGTATAGGTCATTCAGGTGGATTATTCACAATATTTACATATGTGCTGAGTACAAAAATAGACTGCATGAAAAGCTAGCTTTTGTTGTGTAGACACAGATTTGTAAATGCCCAAAACTGTAGTTTCAAACCAAATTCGAATTTCTGTTTTGAAAAATTATGAAGTCCACATAGTCCACTTCATCATGTATATGCCAATTTTAGTGGTGATTTTTTTTTTTTAAATTTTGATACATGTAATATTACAGGGGTTATTCATTGTATAAAAATATCACCCATGGCCATCGTACGCTACTCTACACTGCTACCTTAGCATTATATCATTGATAAACTCTTTGAAATGAAAACATATACTGTACGTTATTAGTAGTGTAAAACTGTTTATCCTTCATCACAACACTGTACGCTGCTTTTGAGCCAGAAAAATAACTACAACGAATTTGATTGATGCACGTGTCTACTGTTAATATAGGATGTCCACGAAAGTGTGTACCACGAAACGATCTAAATAGCTTCAAACCACGTAGGATAATACCCACGAATATTTCGTGTTATACAGTCAAAAATACACTGAAGATACCGCTGTTCGCCGAAAATAATACCCAACAGAGCAGCAACAGACACAATGAACGAACAATGTAAAACATATATAATTCCTTTCTGGCATTTGAATTTTTTTGCTCCTCAGAAAGGATTGACCATGTTATAACCCGTGCTAGGTTGTTAGAGTTTGTCATCATGTAAAACAACTGTATGCGATAATTGGCACCAAATTTCAAACTGAAATGCATTTATCTGTCCGGTAAAGTGTACACTAGAAATAACCAATTTGTTATTCAATGCGACAATTAAGTGTTATTTTACTAACTTTTGGAGTATATATCTCTATACTAGTAATATAATCTATGGGTTTTTTCTATTGTCATTAGCAAGAACTTTATTGTTTACGCGGACACATTAGAACCTAGCTGTAGCGGTGGAGAGGCTATATATACTGAGGACCCGGACGGAATGCATGTAAACTACGTATCATGAAATAAATAACAAAACATCAAACTAATGAGTTGCAACAATAAAATTGTATTACCTGTTACTGTACTGAGTGACATTGGGTCGTCAGTCTTTGACCTACGATTTTGTACAGATGTGGGTTAACATTACGTTGCACGATGCCTGATGTGCTTACTATGTACGAACGATAACATACTGGGCGATACCACCTTGCGTCCGCAGACGATCGGTGTGTGATAATAATTACGGTTGATATAAATAGGAGAATTGCTTTAACGATAAATACGATTTAGTTTCAAAAAATTATATATTAATCTTGATTATAAGGCATGCTACAATATTTTAGCTGGTGGGTTTATAGTTCAAACATTGTGTTTTCATGATGATTAAAAATTGACATTAATCGACAAGTGTTAATACACAGTTCGGCACGGTCCCATACACATACAGAAGTAAACATATCTGCCACCAGCATGTACACATACCTGGGGATTTTTCGACACCAGGAAGACTAAAGTTATTTTCTCAGATGTAAACAGTGGCCCAATGGGCCTGCATCGCTCACCTGGTATTGATCTCAAACTTGTAACCATAAAATCTAAAATAAAGCTACAGACAACATATCAGTATTTATGACTATAAGTCATTCAAAAGAAACTGTTAAAAGATTTTAAAACATTTGACCCATGTGACCTTGACGTTCATCTCAGCATGCAACTGGCCAACTATCATCATTCTTGGCCTATTAGTTATTCAGAAGAAGTTGTTTAAAGATTTTAAACAAATTTGACCCCGTGACCTTGAATATAACTATCAAGGTAATTTATTTTAACAATTTTGTAGCCCTTCATTAAGGCATGCTAATGGCCAAATATCAGCATTCTTGGCCTATTGGTTATTCAGAAGAAGACCTTTAAAGATTTTGAACATATTTAACCCCTGTTACCTTGAATACAGGTCAAGGTCATTTCTTTTCGCAAACTTCGTCAGACATTATCCTAGTAACATATCTGTCACATAGAAAGCTTCAGGGCCTTTCAGTAAATCAGAAGAAGTCGTTTAAAGGTTTTAACAAATTTGACCCCCATGACCTTGAATATGGGTCAAGGTCATTTCTTTTCGCAAACTTTCGGGCCAAGTGAGATAAAAATGCCACCGGTGTCCAACCCAGAACAACTTTAGATCGTCTCAAACGCTATTAACAAACATATTATATCCAGTCAAACAGTATATCACTCTCTGTCTCCGGTGTGGGCCAGGCAAACTTACCAGTCTCTCATCCATGTGTTATTTGCCTGTTCTGTTACATGAGAGTCAGACCCCCTTCTTGACATTTTTACATTGTAATACTGCAAATGGATGCAACACGCTTTGGAAAAATAGGACATAATGCAAAATATACTAACCAGCAATTACATATATATAATATACCTTATTTCGATCTTCCGGAATTTTTCATCGCGTAAAGTAAAGTTGATCAAGACCATTATTGTACTTAATTGCACCTCTTTGAGGACATAAACACACAGCGGGGTGATCGATTGCTGAATCATACATTGTACGACTATGAGCACCGTGTGCGGACGGTGTGCGGACGGTGTGCTCACGCTGTCTGTTGGTGCATTGTACGGTCTCACAACTGTTAGATTGGAATAATGTCACATAAGTTAAGCCCTTGATTGAATCAGTTACAAATTATGGATTGTTAAAGTCCATTGCAGTGTATTTCTATCATATATCAGTGCAAGCATATTGTAAGTTTGTCTTGCCTATGCAAAGACCATTGTCCTTGTTACAGACGTTACAGTTGACAGGGCAAGTCTGGCTACAGGAACTTCCATAGAATCCATCATTACATTCTGAAAAGAAAGAAAACAAAACAACATGAAACAATTGAATCTCACGACTTTCATTAAGTCGATATGTATCACCATAAATGTATTATCATGTTGATTATTTAAAAAAAAACAAGTGCCTGAAAATCCCGTTAGGGAACCGTCTGTAAAGTACAAGTGTACTAGGTAGGTGCACAACAAAAAAAAAAAAAAAGTGTCTGTATCTAATAGGTTGTATACGGTTAGTTTTAATTAAACAGTTGAAATCCCTTCAATACTACTTGGGAACAATAAAAATGCTAAATATATCGAAAAAACAACAAATTCTTCACACATATAATTGCATCTTAGTATTACTTTCGTCACTTTTACAGGAAGCCGTCAAAAGAAAGTGAGCAGGCAACGTTTATCGTAAATATTAACATATAAATAGTTTGTATTTTTGACGTTGGGATTGACTTTAAGACAAATACTGGTCAATGCACTTCCCAGGAAACTGCGTACTTTTTATAATTTCATTGATATTGGTATTTTGACCTAGTCGAATATCATATAACCTTGTTAAGAAGGCGGACAAACTGTTGACCCAAGTAAAACTTCGTGCCGTAATAAACAAGGCAAGATGTTGAATATTAACATAAATGTATTTAATTATATAGCACATGTCAATATCCGCATAAGACATTTGAGCACTGTTGGTCTAAAATGGCTAAAATATTGCGTTGAAACTAAAAACTAATTGGTTTGATACTGATTTATCAGAAATGCAATGTATATCCACACATGATGTGAATTTACACAACACGTTG